TGGGTGCTGTACCTCAGCTCTTCAGCTCTAGGTGAGCACTCTACCACTTGAGCTACAGCGCCACTTACAGTTTTCTGGTGGTTTATTGGAGATAGGAGTCTCATGGTCTCTCCTGCCTGGGCTGGCTTTGAACCACGATCCTCAGATCTCAGCCTCCTAAGTAGCTAGGATTACAGGCGTGAGCCACCAGCGCCTGGCTGTAGATTAGTTTTTTATTAGTATCTTCTTCCTTTTTAAGTTTAAAGGAGAATATGAATTCAGCCTTCTCTAAGCTATTAATGATATTTTGAAAGATGCAAAAAGTCCTTTATTTAAGAGAGTTTGTCTACTTGACAAAGTCTTATTCACATTTTGAATAAGACTATAATCGATTCATAAATTACTATAGGAATCTGGTGTTACTATGTAAAATTTTCTTCCTTTAACAGGTTGAAGCACTCAGTTAATGTCTTCATACAGAGAGCTTCCCCCTCCAGTGCAATCTTGATTACTATGGAGTTTGAGAGTGCTAGAATCAGAGCTTGTGTGCCTCTTTGAGAAAACTACTACATGTGTCCCAGGAGATAATATGAAATTTAAGATCCAAACCTCTGGACAAGAATATGAAATTTATTTACAAACACAACTGGGATTTTTCTAAGGTCACTTCTTTCCTGGTTGCATAAATTGCAAAGCCAGGAGTCTGGGGATTCTTGTTCCTTTGTTCTTCCTCTTTCCTCCCCTATTCCCTTTTTGTTTTGTGGTACTCAAGTTTGAATTCAGATCTTGTGCTTGCTAGGTAGGCATTCTACCACTAGTACATTTTATTTATTTTTTGGGGCAAATCCTGGGGCTTGAATTCAGGGTCTGCGTGCTATCCCTGAGCTCTTTTGCTCTCTACCACTTGGGCCACAGATCCACTTCCAGATTATTGGTGGTTAATTTGCGATAAGAGTCTCATGAACTTTTCTTGCCTGGGCTGGCTTCAAACCAAGACTCTCAGATCTCAGCCACTTGAGTAGCTAGGATTACAGGCATGAGCCACTGGTGCCCAGCTGCTTTGCTTATTTTTTGAATAGGGTCTTATGCTTATATCCACTTGTACCTGTGAATAAGGATCTGTAGTTTATGATGAATGTCTTTGATTGAATGTCTGCTAGTCTCTAAAAGTACTTTTCACTTGCAAGAGTCTCCTTCAGGTTAAAGTAAATTCTCCCTTCTTCATTGGGCCTGCGGGCTATTACCCAACACCTGCCGATACAAGTCCTTTGATTTTGCCACATAAAACTCTTCAAGTAAAAAACCAAAAAAAATTCTTCAAGTAATCCTAACCTGAGACTTTTTTTTTGGGTCAGTCATGGGGCCTGAACTCTAGGTCTGGGCGCTGTCCCTGAGCTCTTAAGCTTAAGATTAGCGCTCTACCCCTTGAGCCACAGCACCACTTCCAGTTTTCTGGTGGTTAATTGGAGATAAGAGTCTCACAGACTTTCCTGCCTGGGCTGGCTTTGAACTAAGATCCTCAGATCTCACCTCCTGACTAGCTAGGATTATAGATGTGAGCCACCAGCACCTGGCTGAGACTGCTATTTCATGTTGAGATACTGAAAGATGGAGGTATTCTATTACTTGCAGCTAAAAGTAGCCTAAGTTATATCCTTACACTGAATTCCAGTACTTAAGAGCTAGGCACAACATCACAATATAAGAAATTTTAGGAACACTTCTCACTCTATATTCTACAGAGTTAGTCTGTTTGTGGTGTGAGGTAGTTGTTGGGATCAAAGAGGAAATAAATGGCATAGAGAAAGGAGCTGATGAAAATCAACCCTTAATAATACATAGTGACATTTATACACATTTATTCACAACCCGGAGAGGCAGGTCAGGTGAGGATGAGAAATGTGAAATAATTCCCAAGGTTGCAGCAAGGGGGTGAACTAGGAATGGGAACTAAAGCTACTGACTCAAATTCTGCAGTTTTCTCTCCTAGAACTTGTGTTTCCTTATGAATCAAGCCTAGGAGGTTAAGGTTGAACAAAACAAACAAAAAAAAAAAAAGGGAAAGGACAGAGGAAGAGAGTAATTTTCTGGTTTGTGTTGCCCTGCCTAACCTCATCTAAGGTATTTCTGAAATTTATTTAATGTCTTAAGAAAAACCACATATGCTTTAAAAACAATAAAACAAAACCCAACAGCAACCCAACAGCTTGCAGTAGTCTGGAATTCCAGGATAAATACTGAATTTGGCAGGACACATAGTATCCTTCCTCTCAGTGGGTCACGTGAGGACACTGCCTAACATCCTCTGTCGTGTGTGTCTGGGAAATATTTATGTCCCTTCAAACTCTTACATGTCTCTTTCTTGTGTCCAAAGGAACTTCTGTGTCCTACCTTCTGATAAGATATAAAAATATCATCAAAATCTGGCTCCAAAGATATAAGTTCTTTTGAAAAGGAGGCTTGACTATTTTCCCAGGCTCCTAACAGAGCAGCTCAGATGAAATCATGCCAAATGCTGAATGGGAGGGGTTTTTAGTGGAAACCACCATGCTAGGTTGTGGCCACATTTTCACAATACTTTGGGGGTTATGGAGAAATAGCCCAGATTTGACAGTCAAAACCAAGTCATGAGACTCACAAAGTCAAACCCTAGCATCAGTTCCAATTGCTTGACAGCTGCGCCTTCTTCATAGCACTACCACATGGAAAAAAGAAAGCAAAAATCTAGTAAGCCAAAGAAATTCAGCATGTGGCACCTTGAGAAATGTATTCTCAAGTTATTTTATATCGAATGCTTCTTCCCAAGAGCAGCTGAAATTGGTTTTCACCTTCAAAGGGGTAGTGAGGTAGTAAAATTACTTATTATTATTAACAATATCTGTCTCTTATTGATATGGGAAGATATTCAAGACCTAATATTGGGCCAGAGAGCCAGGCTGAAGTGTTTTTTGTGGAAAAATATGTCATAAAGTAAAACATGGAGAAATAGGTAAGATAATATCTGTAGGCACTGAGTTCATAAACTATTTTTCTCTTTGCAATTTCCTATACTTTTGCAAAGCATGCATATATGTGTGTGTGTGTGTAATTTGATTACAGGATAAAAAAAATACAAGAAAGAGCTATTTCTGGGGAAAAACAGGTTTACAAATAACTCAAATAGGTTATAGACATTTGTCACATGATCAAAATTACTGAAGAGGGCTCAGTGAAAAAATACCAAAGTAAAAATAGGAATTTCTTTGCTAAGCATTAATGTTAAGCTTAGCTTGGCATTACCTTAGGAGTAACATTATTCATTTCGATAAGGCAATTGTTTACAGGATTATAATATATTGAGAAATGTTTATTAAAATGTGCACTTTGTTGAGCTGGGTGCTGGTGGCTCATGCTTGTAATCCAAGCTACTCAGGAGGCTGAGATATGAGGATTCGGTTAAAAGCCAGCCCAGGGCTGGGAAGGTGGCTCAGTGGTAGAGCACTTGCCTTGCATGCATGAGGCCCTGGGTTCCATTCCTCAGCACTACATAAGCAAAAAAAAGAAAAAAGCGGGAAGTGGTGCTATGGCTCAAGTGGTAGAGTGCTAGCCTTGAGCTGAAGAGCTGAGGGACAGCGCCCAGGCCCAGAGTTCAGGTCCCATGACCAACAACAACAAAAAAAAGCCAGCCCAGGCAGGAAAGTTTGTGAGATTCCTATCTCCAAGTAACCAGAAGTGGAGCTGTGGGTCAAGTAATTAGAGTTCCATCATTGAGAAAAAAGAAACTCAGAGCCAGGCGTTGGTGGCTCACGCCTGTAATCCTAGCTACTCAGGAGGCTGAGATCTGAGGATCGCGGTTCAAAGCAGCCAGGGCAGGAGAGACCGTGAGACTCCTATCTCCAATAAAACCACCAGAAAACCGGAAGTGGCGCTGTAGCTCAAGTGGTAGAGTGCTTGCCTTGAGCTGAA